AGCCCTATTGAGGTGCTGGTGCCTCAGGGATAAGTACACAAGATTGTAAGAAAAGGAACAAGAGCAGGACATTAGTCCCCTCAAGCCTGTCCCACCATTCTAGAAGATCATGGCTGATCTGTCCCAGGTCCCAAATCCTCTTTCTTGCCAGCTCCTCATAGCTTTCAATTCCTCGATATTTCAAAAGTCTATCTCCTCTTTAAATACTTATATGATACATTGGTCTCAGGAAACAATTCCAAGCAAGGTGGGAAGGAAAAAGAAACTTGGGAATTCAATTCCATTTTTTTCACAGAACTTTCTCCCTCAGATTTCTGAATACATAAACATACTGCAAAATACTTAGAAAGTGATGTTACACTGCATTTCTACTAGGAACATCTTACTGTGAAAGCTAAGCAGCCAAGGAAATGAGTTTTGGAGCAGATTGGTTTCATTCAGAAGGTTTTGGATGGTTAGTAGCAACTATCTGTATTATTGGGTGCCCTACCATCCAGGGAAATGAAACCAAATTAGTCTCTGGTGCTATTTCATGACTAACTAGCATAACATCAAAGGGTTGCAACCAAAAGCAGACGATCTGACTGAAGCTGGAGCTAAGATTAATGCTGTTCATTTGCTTTATTAACGATCTCTCTCAGGATGTTCATTCTTTAAGTCGGTTTACTATATGCAATCACATATCCCTAATTTATTCTTCACTGTTCAGCTATAACAGTTGACCAGGAATTGGCTGAGGATGAGATAGAAGGTTTTCCAGTTGCTGCCAAGAAAGCATTTCTCTCTAAAGGCAGTCAATCCCACTTTATTTGTTTCTTCCTGATGGAAATGAGATCCACCGTACTGGACACAAATAGCTAGCCTTCAGGATAATGAATCTGGGAAAGAAGCCAAGCAACTATTTAATCAGTGCACTGACTGCAAAGAGCCACACAGCCAAACTAACCAGTAAGAAGTCAGCCCCAGTGGCTTGCTTGTAACATTGTCAGCTCCTGCCTATGATGCAGTGCAGCAAACACAGCCATAGTACACTGAGTCTGCCTCACATTGATCAGCATGACATTGCCTGGGGAGAGTGTTTGAATATCAGCTGGTGCAAAGATTACAACAATTGCACGGCCTCATCAGCGGTATATTTAGTTGCAAACACACAATCTCAAAGGAAATTGTTTTTGCCAAACTGCACCGACCACTAGAGACAGAGATGCTACAATAACAGAGCAATGTTCTGGAAATTTATTAATTACTTAATGGAAAAACAACCTTCAAGTTGGCCCATATACACCAAACATAGAAAAGAGGAGGTATTGTTGGTAGATGGGGTTTGGGGTGGTATCTATGTGCTGCAGAAGTGAATGAGAGCTGAGTACAAAGTATTGGCACATGGATTATTAACTGAAATCAGGTCTTGACATCACAAATTTTAAATAATTTGCCATTATTCTCAAAAGGTAGCAACACTTACCTGATTAATTTAAATGTTAGACACTGTACAACATTGGTTCTTGTTTTATTCATGTTAGTGTCTGAGCAACATTGTAGATCCCCAACAAAGGACCTTTATCAGCAAGCATAATGATTGAACCTAAACTAAAGAAGGTTATCATTTAAACTCATTGTTTTATCTCATGAATTAAATTCCAGTCAGAAACTGAATCGCAAATATTGTTACTTCAGGAATGCAAACAAGACAAGGAAATATACAAATACTGAAAGGAACAGAGAGATTTTGGTGTGTATGTGCGTAAAGGTAGCAGGATAGGTGTGTAAAAGAGTTAAGATGATATGCAGGGTCAATGCATAGAGTTAAAAAGCCAGAAGAATATGGTCAAAATGTATAAAATATTAATTAGGTCATAACTAATATACTGCATACAGTTCTGGTCACCACATCGCATGATAGATGAGATTATTCCAGATAGGATACAAAAAACATTTACAAGGATGTGTTCAGTGAAAAAATTTAATGAGCAGGAAAGATTAGAGAGGCTTTTTCCTCACAACAGAGAATGCAGAGAGATTTAACTGAGGTAAATAAAATTATGAGGGACTTAGAGTGGGCAGGAAATACCTACCAGAGAGGTAAAATACCAAGGGGGCTTAGATTGTAGTAGAAATGATAGACAGCAGATGAGAAAAGATTTCAGCCAGGAGTGTTTGCAAACTGATGTCAGAAATGGTGATAAAGGCTGAATCACTATAACATTCATAAAGCACCTGTATATGCATTTGAGGTGATATAGACTACACGGCTTTGAATCAAAAACTGCAAATACTTCTACCGATAGTAAATCCAACAACACAGTCTGCTTTAGGATTGCCAGGATATAATAACCCTTAAATATGTCATCTGAAAGAAATGTAGAGAGATAACAGAATTAGCATTTCAGGTCAATGAAAGGTCTCTCTCCACAGATGACCTTATGAGCATTTCCAGCAGTTTCTACTTCAGATTCTGCCAAGCCAGCATGCAATATTTCATTTCAGTGGAATTTTGTGCTTTTTTAGCCATGACTGCAGTTTAGAAATCGCTGAATTAGTTAATCAAAGTAGTTTCAGCTGAAGCACTTCAGCTTGCAGGTTTGTTTTCTGCACCAGAGACTGATCCTCAATCTGGCTCCAGGGATAACCTAGTGAAGGGAAGCTTGCAATCCAGCTGTTTCACCTAGAGGGTCATCTTTCACATGCAGTCGAGTTCTCTGCACCTCAGTGACTCTATGGTGTTAGCTTTAAACTATTCATTTCAAAAGCAGATGGCTGAGTCTCATTCAAAGCAGGCAGCTAGGATCATAGAAGCCCTACAGTGTCAAGGCAGGCCATTTGGCCTATCGAGTCCACACTGACCCTCTGAAGAGCATCCCACACAGACCCACCCCTCTACCTGATTCATGGCTAATCCATTTAACCTGCACATCTTTAGACTGTGGGAGGAAACCCATGCAGACATGGGGACGATTTGCAAACTACACACGCACACGCACGCAAGCACACAGTCGCTGGAGGGTGGAATTGAACCCAGGTCCCAGGAGCTGTAAGGCAGGAGTGCTAACCACTGTGCCAGTAGTTGTTGCTGGACCAAATTTCAGGTGACTGATAAAGTGAAGCACTTTGCGAGGAGACAGCCAAAGGATGAAAATAAAGCCCACAAACACAAAGCCAGTCTGAATGCACACCTCCAGATGGGCAAGTGCAAATTTGTCACAGTTCTGGCCATGTATGTCACTCTGATTGTCGCACACTATCCTCACAGATGATATATTTGAAAGAAACATGAGCAATAGTGGAATAAATGGGCTGATAAACAAGTTGGGATGCTTTGGGAATCAAGTGGATGCAACTGCAGGCTTTAGAAACTTATGAAATGAGTATGAATGTTCGTGACACCATAAACCAAAAGAATCAAGCAACAGAAGGAGGCGATGTGTGCCAGCCCTTCGGAAGATATTCCTCATTAATCTCACTCCTTGAAAATTTCAATTACAATTTGCATCAAATTTCCTTTTGAAAGTTACTATTGAGTGTGCTTCCAGCAGCCTTTCAGGAAATGTATTCCACATCACAACTCATTGCATAAAGGAATGTTTGTATGATCCTGGCTCTTTGTGAGCTATATAAACAAAATATTTCTCATATTACAATAAATGTCAGCATATTAATATATTCTTGAATTGCATTGTGAAAGCTATTTTATTTTAGTTATTTATTTCATTCCAATCGTCACTCTCACTTAAAATCTTCCTGTAGCCCAATGTACACCATTGACAAGGTCACAGATTGGAGACTTTAACAATACCACGCCTGAATTTGAAGCAAATGATTATTGTCATTTAATCACGGTATGTGTGTTTACTGCCCATCCCTAGATGCCCTTGAGAATGTGGTAGAGTAACCTCCTTGAATCGCTGTGGTCTGTGTGTTGTGTACCCACAGTGCTGTTAGCAAGGCAGTTCTCTGATTTTGACTCAGCAACAGTGAAGGAGTTAGTTCCAAGTCAGAATGGCGTGTGACTTCAGGGAGAACTTTCAGGTTGTAATGTTCCCTGCAGCTGCTGATCTTGTTTTTCTGGATAGTGGAGATTGTGGATTGGGTGCTGTTGAGAAAGTTGTGGCAAGCTGCTATATTGCATTAAATAGATAGCACATGTTTCTGCCAGTATGCACCAGTGATGCAGAATGTACAGCCTTTAATCTGCTCCTGAACTATGCTCTTCCCATATCTGTGTGAGTTTCCTCTGAGTGCTCCGGTTCCCTCCCATGGTCCAAAAATGTGTGCATGAGGTAGATTGGCAATGCTAAATTGCCCATAGTGTCCAGGGAATTGCAGGCTAGGTGGATTGGCCATGGAAAATGCAGGGTTATAGGGATGGGGTGGGGAATGAGTCTGGGCAGAATGCTCTTCAGAGGGTTGGTGTGGGACTCAATGGGCCGAATGGCTTGCTTCCATACTGTAGGGATCCTATGATTCTACAGAATATGCATGGTTATGGTGAATGGTGACATGAAGTTTATTGATGCTGGGGGATGATGGATGTCATGGAGATTTTTTCTTGTTGGAGTTAGCCACTGCATGGCACTTGTGAGACATGCATGTTACTCATTAGCTCAAGCCTATATGTTGTTTCAGTCTGCTTCATTATCAGAGTAATTGCAAATGGAGCTGAAAAGGGTCCAGTCATCAATGGAAATCCTTACTTCTAACCTAAAGTTGGAGAAGGACCATTGATGAAGCAGCTGTAGATGGTGGGGCTGAAAACATTGCCCTGAAGAATGATGCACAAGAATAGATCGAGGAGACATGACCTATAGCCAAACATTGTGCTGCTCATGCTGCCGTTCTAGAAAACAGAAATGAGATTAGGAATTGTCATATAGGAATCAGAGAAGCGAGTGTGCATCCTATGGAACATTTCACTATGTCGTAAGACTTTGTTTCATAGACTAATCTGCTTTGATCGCTTATTTGTGAATTGATTACTAACGGACAGATATTATTTTCTCTAGATCCTTACGTAAAGATACACCTGCTGCAGAATGGAAAACGACTGAAGAAGAAGAAAACCACAGTTAAGAAAAACACACTGAACCCTTACTACAATGAATCATTCAGCTTTGAAATTCCATTCGAACAAATACAGGTACTAATATTTAGCATTTAGCCTCCTGAAAGAATGCACCTGCCATAAAGTCAGCAAAACAAATACATTCTGATGGAGTACCTCAATGATAGGTTACATTACCATCAAAATAAATTGTGCAAACTTAAGTAATTTATAGATATAGATATATACATGCCTTTCCTCACTACGTCATCTAACGTATTACTAACATCCTGTGTGATTTGGGACAAACTATCCCACCACATTGGTGTTTGACTATCACCCACAAGATTGAGATAACAAGGTGTAGAGCTGGATGAACACAGCAGGCCAAGCAGCACCAGAGGAGCGGGAAGGCTGACGTTTCGGGCCGAGACCATTCATCAGAAATGGGGGAGGGAAAGGGGGTTCTGAAATAAATAGGGAGAGAGGGGGAGGCGGATAGAAGATGGATAGAGGAGAAGATAGGTGGAGAGAAAACAGACAGGTCAAAGAGGCGGGAATGGAGCCAGTAAAGGTGAGTGTAGGTGGGGAGGTAGGGAGGAGATAAGTCAGTCCAGGGAGGACAGACAGGTCAAGGGGGCGGGATGAGGTTAGTAGGTAGGAAATGGGGGTGCGGCTTGAGGTGGAAGGAGGGGATAGGTGGGAGGAAGAACAGGTTAGGGAGGTGGGGACGAGCTGGACTGGTTTTGGGATGCGGTTGGGGGAGGGGAGATTTTGAAGCTTGTGAAATCCACATTGATACCATTGGGCAACAGGGTTCCCAAGCGGAATATGAGGTGCTGTTCCTGCAACCTTCGGGTGGCATCGTTGTGGCACTGCAGGAGGACCAGGATGGACATGTTGTCTGAGGAATGGGAGGGGGAGTTGAAATGGTTCGCGACTGGGAGGTGCAGTTGTTTAGAGCGTAGGTGTTCTGCAAAGCAGTCCCCAAGCCTCCGCTTGTTTTCCCCGATGTAGAGGAGGCCACAATGGATACAGCGGATGCAGTATACCACATTAGCAGATGTGCAGGTGAACATCTGCTTGATGTGGAAAGTCTTCTTGGGGCCTGGGATGGGTGTGAGGGAGGAGGTATGGGGGCAGGTGTAGCACTTCCTGCGGTTGCAGGGAAAAGTGCCAGGTGTGGAGGGGCTGGAGGGGAGTGTGGAGCGGACAAGGGAGTCACGGAGAGAGTGGTCCCTCCGGAAAGCAGATAAGGGTGGGGAGGGAAAAATGTCTTTGGTGGTGGGGTCGGATTGCAGATGGCGGAAGTGTCGGAGGATGATGTGTTGGATCCGGAGGTTGGTGGGGTGGTACGTGAGAACGAGGGGGATTCTTTTTTGGTTGTTATTACGGGGAGGGGGTGTGATGGATGAGTTGCGGGAAATGCGGGAGACACGGTCAAGGGCGTTCTCGACCACTGTGGGGGGGGGATGTTGCGGTCCTTGAAAAACGAGGACATCTGAGACATACGGGAGTGGAATGCCTCATCCTGGGAGCAGATGCGGCGGAGGTGAAGGAATTGGGAATAGGGGATGGCATTTTTGCAGGAAGGTGGGTGGGAGGAGGCGTATTCTAGGTAGTTTACGGGAGTGGAGCACCTCACCCACAAGATTGACCCTTCTTTCTACAGATCACTTTAAAAAATTGTGATCCAACTGATTTACCACAGTACCAGGGCTGAGAGTGCTAAGTTGTGAGAGCTGGTTACATAAATGTGGCTGGTAGTTCACAGAATTGTTATGTTGACGGAGGAGGCGATTCAGTCCATCATGTCCATACCAGCTGTCTGGCATTATGTTATAATGACCTATCTCCTGGCTTCTCCCCATAACCCCAAACATTATATGATTACTTCATTTGAAACAGTGTCGTGTTGAATGGCTCATATGACGCCACACTTACAGGCAATGCATTCCACACCCATAACTACTTGATATGTGGAAAAGTTTTTCTCACCTCGTATGGCATCTTTTGCCAGCCAGTTTAAACTGTGCCCAGTGATTGTCTAACCTTTCGCAAGCAGAAAACAACTCCTTCCTGTCCAGAACTTCATGATTTCGTCTCCAAGGAGAACAATCCCACCTTGCCCAATTTATCTTCATATCTGATGTTAAGGCTGTGAGAGACGAAGCAAATGTAAGAAAAATAGAGAACAGATGTAATGTGATCAGTTTCTAAAGTTACGGAATTCCATACTGACACCTTGAGACTGCAAAGTGGCTGAGCAGAAAATGAGATGTTATTCCTCAAGCTCGCATCGTGCTTTGTTATTATCTTCTACATTTTACACTGTCACTCCGTGTCCTTTGTACCAAAGTGTATCACTGTACACTTCTCTGCGTTGAACATGATCTACCACTATCAACCCACTCCACCCAACTATAAATACCCCCTTGAAGTTCTACACTGTTCTGCTCACAGTTTATATTTTCCCATGTTTTGTGTTATCTGCAAACTCAGAAATTATCCCCTGAGTACCAAGACCTAGATTTTTCTTGTCAATTAAAGCAAGGGTGTCAATAGGGACCCTTGGAGAACTCAGTACAAAATTTCTTTCAACCAGAAAAATACTCATTAATCATTACTCTCTCTTTCATTTCTCTCAGCAGTTTTGTATCCACTGTTGCTTTTATTCCATGAACTGTAATTTTCTTCACGAACCTGTAGTATTGTACTGTATCAAACACCTTTTGGAACTCTATGTTCACCATATCAACAGCCTTGTCTGCTTCAACACTTGCCTTTTAGCTCTTCAAATTAGTTAGACATGATGTTCCGTAAATAAGTCTATGCTCACACTTCTATGTGACTGTTAATTCTGTCCGAATAATTATTTCTAGAATAAAACAAAGAATTTCAGATGCTAAAAATTTGAAACAAAAACAGAAATTGGTAAAGAAACTCAGCAGGCCTGGCAGCATCAGAGGAGAGAAAGCAGAATTAATGCTTTGGGTCCGGTGCGGACATTAACTTTGTTTCTTTCTCTACAGATGTTGCCAGACCTGCTGAGTTTCTCCACCAATTTCTGTAATTGTTTCTAGAAGTTTCTCCATTGCTGAGGTTAAATTGACTGGTCTGAAATTCCTGAGCATATTTTTACCTCCTTTTTTGAACAAAGGTATAAAGTTTGCAATTCTCCAGTCCTCTAGCACTACTCCCAAATCCAATGAAGACTGAAAGATTGTTACCAGTGCCTCAGGAACTTCCACTCACATTTCATTCAATATTCTTGTATGGATCTCAACCAGACCCAGTATACTTCAAACATGAAGTAACGACAGCTTATCCAACATCCCTTCATTGGCATGGACCAGGCCAAACCCCATCAAAATATAATCAAGGAGATAGCCTAGACCCTAACTTTTTATTTTATTTAAATGCAAGTGTAAGGGTCTGTGTTCCAGATGAGATTTGATGGTCCAACACAATGCTTTAGGCAAAACACACTTATCTGGCATCTCTTCTCTCTCTTGTTTTTTTTTCTGATTCCTTGCACTGTTTCATCTGATTCCCACTCTCACTCTGCCATGCTCTATTATTTAGTGTCTGCTCTTTTTTACAAAGCAATGGAAATCTGAAATTCTTTTCCAAAGACTCTAGAATCTGGGTAAATTGGAGCTTTCAAAATGGAAAGTGTTAGCTGTTGGTTAGATAAGGCTACCAAGGGATGTAAAGCAAAGGCTAGCATAGGGTGTTCAGGTACATGACAAACATGGTCTAATTGTCTGATTGGGCAGGCTTGAGGGGCTGAATGGCCAGTCCCCTGTTCCAAACCCTCAATGTTGATTCAAGTAGTCTCCTATGATTACTGTTTAGCAATAAAAAAAATCTATCAACAGACATTTTCCCTCCCTAAATGTGGTGAGAATGGCACATAATTGAATGAGTTGACAACGCAAAATATCGAACCCATTCTTGCCACCTGAGTAATTACGTTCTGGGTGATTTTCCTGAAATCCATCAATGAAGGCCTATCGATCAGGGCCTCCACCCACCACCAGTCTGATTACCTGCCTTTTTGGAAGAGGGGAAAGGTGGTTACCTTCTCAATAGAGAGACCCAGACAGCCTGCCTGCTGGGTGGAATGTGAGAAAGGGCCAAATTGAGTCCCTACTCCATTAGGTGGGGAGGGGATGTTGGGGACAGGCTATGTGGTGACTGCTGAAAGCATGACCCAGTGTATACATCGCCCCCTAAACTCCCCAAGACTCAACACTGTGATGTCCTAAAATAAATCCATTCACCATTCTCATGATTGCAATCCTTCATTGCACAGCCTGGACCTCCTGCCTCACGCTCTAGGTCCCAGAAGACATCCGTCTCTGATGGGCCATCAGCTCCTGGTGGGGCAAGGCTCCAGTGTCGAGGCCGATGTTAAACCAAGAGGTTTGTCACCCAACCCCTAATTGGTTGGGCTTTCTCAGAGGGGGCAAGGAGGGGTAATCCATCTGAGGATGCTCAAACTTAGTGCTCAGCAGACAAAATCTAGCCAAGAATTTCGCTTTTATGTTCTTTTTCCATAACATTAATTAATGCCACCAAAATACAGAACAATCTCTGTATATTCTGTTCTGCTGTATTTCATCCTTGGAGGTGGAGATAAATACAACATCTACAGTGGCCATTTCAGCATCAAAGCCTGGGCTAGTAGCTGCCATTCAAAATGTCAGACCACATTGACTCAAAAGGAAAAATAACTGAAACTGGCCAATGACCCGTACTAATCTGACTTGTCTTGTCTACTTCAAATTGGACAAGTTTGATCAGTATGTTCATTTCCAAGTATTTATGTTTTTTGTATTTTGTGTCCTTGAGGGAGGCAAGATGCTGCGCTTCCACCATCAGGGAACAGATCTTGCAGAACTGCATTCCAACTTTTGCTGTCCATAATCTAATTTTAAAGAAAGCAATCTCCATCACAGTGTCGTGCCAATAAATGTTCTTTTTAGCAGAGTGGGAGCATTAGCTGGAATCTCCATGAATGGAACTTTCTAACAGAAGGGAAATCTGTTCTTATTATAGAGCCATATGCATCATGTCACTTGGGATTCCAT